TGATATCCCTACTGCACACATCTCCAGACAGAGCTATTCTGCTCCTGCTGACTGGACAGTGTGCTGAGGCAAAGGCTGGGGAGGGACTGTTGGGACACAAGTCCGAGCAAGCAGAGACACACAGACTCTACATGTTGAAGGTGGACATGGCTCGGTCCCTGAGATGGCCAGTTTTAATTGCCAACTTCACACAACAGAGAGTCACTGGGAAGAGAGAGTCCCAGTGGCAGATTATCAAGGTCAGATTAGCCCGTGGCATGTCTAGGGGAGACTGTCTCTGTCCTGATGTAAGAAGAGCCAGTCTGAAGGTGGGAGGCTCAGTACCCAGACTGGGTAAGAATGGGAAAGCCTGCTGAGCAAGAAGCATGAGGGTCCTGATTGCATTCTGCCCTTGACTGGTGATGAGGTGTGTGACCAGCGGCTGCAGCCACAGCTGCCGTGGCCCCTCCACCATGAGGGCCTGGAATTGCAGGCTGAAACAAACCATCCTCTCATGTTTTGCCTGTTGTCAGCAACACAAAAGGAACTGGGGTGCCCCTATACCCTGCCCAACATCATTTTCTCCAGTTCCCCTCAGCCCCCTGGAAGTTTCCCCCACCTCAGCCAAGGCCTTTGCAGTAGCCTAAGTGCTACTCCACATGTGACACTAGCTTGTCTCCTCATCCTCATTTCCTAACAAACCCCCAAACCTAGCTTCACTGCTTGAATCTTCTGGAGCCTATCACTACGGATGAACACCCCACCCCTCAACAGAATACAGGCTCACAGAGGGCAAGAGTCTTCAAGCTCTAATCTCCATGTATTTCAGAGCTTATTTTACATGGCAGGCATTTCAAACCAGCATTTGCAAATGAATGGATATATACAGTTAATGTGATATTAGGACAACAAATAAAATATAATGTTTGCTTATTCAAAAAGTCCAGAGTTAGCTGGATCTTAGGGTAATACATTCAGACCCTGCAGCTCCTAGTGTCCTTTCACACAAGCAAATCCCGCAGGGCTCCTCCACGCTCCAGATGGAGGACAGGCCTAGGATGGGACCAGCCTCCGTGCTATGCAAGAACAGGGCCTGCTCATGAGCCTGTGCCTTGTGTCTAGGTAACTCTTCGGCTGGGTCATGTCTGCCTGCTCCTCCTCTGATCTCCTTTCGTCCCCCTCACGCAGCTTCTCTTTACCTCTTCTGTGTCTCTCCTACCGTCATTAGGTAATTAATGCCTTCCTTCGTATTCCAATTTTGAGCACTCCAAACTCCAATCTACAAGTGTTTCTAATGTAACTATATTTAAAGTGCCCCCACCCCCGTTTGACTATGTAGGAGGGGGTACCTTAAGAGAAGTCATGCTTTTCTCCTATTGTTTTATTTGGCTAAATATCTAGCAGAAAAGTCAACCCTCTGAAGATCATCCATAAACACCCATGAAAGAACCAAACAGCAAGGAAGGAATTACTCAAAGATAATTCAGTACTGTCCCAGTGAAAATGCCAAATATCTAGACTGAGGTCACTGGATACCATCATACAAATCTGATGTTTTTTTAACCCGTAACAGGGAAGGATAACTTCCCTACCTAGGTTTTATGGAGTGGGACTTCAGGTAGAAACCAGAGGACAAATGCCTATAAGATACCTTTGTTACTAATACACAGGCCATAGATTTTGCAGTGTATTTTAAATCCCCACGTTGATTCATCAAACATTGGAATAACTAGACTGAAGGTAAGGCATGTCTAACGCAACCATGCGTCTACTGGTCTACGGCACTCAAATGGAACACTGATAAGAGATCTGTTGCCTGGGAAGAACCCTGGAATCCAGCCAGTGAACTCACCAGGTTAGAAACACAGATATGTAATGTACACCACTGTGTATGGAGGTGACAATTTCACATTTATTACACCCTAATGCACAGATTACCAGAACACTTCCAAGAAAGTATTTATTAAGGGACATTAAAATGCAATAAACACAGGAAGCTGGGCACACGTTCTTGAGTCTGACCACGGTTCAATTAACGTCCTACCATTTAGCCCTCTCCCGCCTCAGTTTCACAGAAGTTATTTATAGATAATTAGGCTAAACAGTTATGAGAACTATATGAGCTGAAGAATGTGAAAGGCTTAGAACAAAGAACACACTTCATGGGTGTTCATTGAGTTCTGTCTGGTGACAATATTTACGAGTTTAAAGCTCAGGGGTGTTTTCCTGTGTGTTTCTGTGGAGACACCACATTAAGTGAAGTGTCACGACGCAGATCCCTGCTCTGTCCTCAAACCCTGGCCCAGAAAAGGCATCTGCTATGACACCCTGTGTCTAGAACCTCCACCAATCTTGTTGAAAAGCTGGGGTGACTGACTGAATGCGTCATCGGGGAATTAACGGGAATCGCACGGATGCACATGTATGTAGCACAGAAGCCTTGCTGCTCCTCCCTCTCCTTCATCCTGCCCTGGTAAACACAGCATGGAGTCAGGTGACTGGTAATAATCTGGGGACCAGGACAGTTTCATTGTATCAGACATTGTCCTACTGTCTAACCACATCCTTCTCACCAACAGCAGGATGAACTACTACCCACTCCCAACTCTTTCTGCCTCCCACAATGCAGCAAGAAAAAGCTCCCTGGACAGCAGAGCCTCCTAGTACAGATGCCAGACTCTGGAGACTGGACCCCTGCTGATGCTGCTGGGAAAATCACCTCGACTTGCTCTGTCTGGTTTCCCAACACGTAATGCTGATTTTACTGTCCAGTAGACCCACTCGCAGGGATTTAAGGGATACAGTAATAGGAAATAAGGGTGGGGAGACACCAGACACTGGAACTATAGGGATGGGCTGCTATTCTCATAAATGACCATGGCTCATTTGCCTTTATCTGTTCTTGATCCTTGAAGTCTGAACATTGGATTTTTGTATCAAAAATACACATATTTGGAGGGGGAATGTACTGAAATGATTGAGTTATAAAGATAAGATATGATAACAAATAACAGGCAACTTCTAAACTGAAAATTATGGAACATAAAACTATGTTTAAAGAGCAGTGACACTCATCAGCTGTGCTTAGTCATAAAGCTAAAATGGATGGAGCATGCAGAACAGAAATGGGAAAAGCAGGTCATATTTAGAGCTCTGACTATTCCAAAAACACAATGCATAAAAAAAAATCTGTGTTCACCACTAGACCGTCCCATCTGCCATGACTTTCATGTTATTTTGACAGTGAGATCATTCTCCAATTCACTCTTGGTTCCTTCAGCAACCTGCACATTCTTTTCCTTTGCCTGCCCAAGACCAATCACACTGAGTACCAGCTGTGAGGGTGTAGTTATGTGAGTCAACAGGTACAGTCCAATAAAAAGAGGAGGGTGGGGAATAGCCTGATGCTTTTACCGACCCTCACTATTGTAGGTCGGCTATCCTATTGATTCGATTCACACCTACTGGATGGGAAGTCTCTCGCCATCCCAGAGAAATCATTTGGGACTTAAAGGGAAAAGCTGCTTATTCGTGAAGTTGATTGGTAAAGTGCCCACACATACCCTATCCAAGCCCAGAGCTAAGGCTTTGAATGCCACTCCCATCAGCCTCCACTGAGACCACCAGGAGCTGTGCTTCTAAAAGCAAAATAAGTAAGGATGCTTTGAAGACCTGTGGCGTCTCACGGGAGGGCTTAGGTGGCATGGAGGAGGAATGAAATGAAGATGGGCTAGCATAAACTGGGGGAAGGAGTACCCGAGACAAAGGATTAGTTAGCCAAATGTGTGAGGTCTGCCTATGTAGAACATGCTACCAATATCTACCATCATCTCCAAGTAACAGAGTAACTCGGTGTGTGAGCGTGTAAAGAACGTTTCAAAATTTAAGGCTGTGTCTGTTGAAAACTGAAACAAAAATGAACAAAATTTAAGTTAAATAGGAGAGAGGCAGAAATGTCTGATGGGGTTCAGGATCAGAGAACTCCAGCACTGACAACTGTCAGTCATGTGTGAATAAGGTTATATCTCCTTCCAAGGCTGGGAATAACGGGTAGTCATCATGAGATGAAACTAGGGCGAAGGTCCTACAAAAACATGGGATTAAATCCAACAATAAATTTCTAAATCTATTATCCCAGCTCATTCAAATGATATAAAAACCCAGACACAAAATGAGGGAAAACACACTCAAATGATGACTCACAGATCACTTTCAGTCCAAGTTGAATTAAACCAAGCAAGAAAAAGAAAGCTGTCTAGGAAAATGAATGTGTACATGGTGAGAATGTTTTCAACAATCGGCAAATCCCCTTGCAGGAGAATTTGAAGGCTTTTCTTGTCACCTAAGACTTGTTTTATGCCAAAGAAAACTACAACCCAAATGTGACCATGTCTAAGAAGCCTAACTCAGACATACATAATCATGGGGGGGCAGGGGATTTAATACTTAAAACATGCTTCACCATAGCGATGGTGCTCTGCTGTTTCAAGTTAAAACTGCTGTTGCTTTTTCTTCAAAGACTTCATTTTTCTGTGTAATGGTAAACTGATCTTAGTTGAGATCCAAACAAGAAGTAACCGTTAATGCAGCTATACTCTGTGGAGATTAAGGAACTGGGTGATGACAACTTGTTCACAATGCAGAAGGTTCATCTCAAGAGTGTCACTCCACAAGCAAGTCTCCCTCAGTGGTGATGGCCATGGCCCAGGTTAAAAGCTCTACTGTTTTCTGAAACCAATACTTCTCTGCGGGCAATGGCTCCCCAGTAATGAGGGCCTGCAAACTGAGTAAGTCCCTGCCAGTTCTAAGAGAGGGTAAGGAAAACAAAGAAGGAAACTTGTGCGAGGGTAGGATGGAGAGGGTGAGCAGAAGTAAGAGATAAGACGGCAGGAGGGAGGCAGTGCAGGGAATGAAGACACCACCAGGGACCATGCTCTTGGGGACCATGAGGTCCACCCTGGCGCCCTAGTCTTTTCTTCCCCTTAGGGAGAAATGGAGCCCAGCTCATCTGGGGTCATTACCTGGATGAGCTCGTCCAGCTCGGTGGAGTTGACGCAGGCATGCTGGGCTATGAAGGTCTGTTTCTGGATCACGATGGTGGTCCTCTGAGAAATCTCCTGAGGCTGCTCCAACGCCTTGAACACAGTGGCTCCAATGATCAGGTAGAGGACGACCACCAGGAAAATCGTGGAGACCGTCTTCCATTTCATAACACTAATGGCCGTGTCACTCTCCACCCGGGAAGCAAGCACGGTGGGTTTTGCGGAGAAGGATAGCCTCGGTTTGGAGTTCTGAGCGGCAGACTTGGGATCCAGCAAGTCAGGGGCCGCCACTGACAACAACAGAGAATTCGGGTTAGGCTAGAGGAGTCTGGGAGCAAGGGGCTAGCTGTTTCTCTAGGGGTCAGCCAGGACTGGCTGGACTCAGGCACTCTCCTAGTGGGAGCTGAGGAACCTCACCCAGCAGCCTTCTATAACCACTTCCAGAACCACATGTAGGCTCAAGGGAGGGGGCGGGGCTTCTGCTCTCTGCTGCCATTGGAGGGCCAGGTGGATGGAAAAAAACAGGGGTCAGACCAGGAGTCAAAAAGTCAACAAATAAAAGAATACTCGAGGGGAGCTCCTCATTAATTTCTAGATTCGTTTTCTGCCCATGATTATGTGTGTGTCAATGAAGATGCCCCTAGCTCCTGAGGGACCATGGTACTAAATAAGATCTGCTCATGAGGAAGAAGGCTCGTGGCTTCCTCCTGTATATCAGACCTTTGTACTATAAGCAATCAGAGGAAATAATGATTGCTATTTGGGTTTCAAAATTCTTACAGGAAGGGCTGGCGATCAGTGGGGCTCAGGATTTTTTTTTCCTGGGCGGGGACACACCACTGAGCACAGTCACACCTGGAACCTGTCTTCCAAAGTGAGCATATTATGAAGCATGGTCCTGCCATCACTCACATGTTCAAAACATAAAAATTATTGCTAATTCTTGAGCCACATCAGCCAAAACAGGACAAAAATCCTATTTCTTCAGCAAAAGTAAGAAGAAACGCAACACCTTGGCTTACACCTTAGACCCTTGGGCCCTCCATGCTCTGCACAAGGCTAATTGCTCCATTAGAGCTCCCAGATACTGTGAGGTGACTCCAAGTCCATCTATTATTTATCCCAGATCTTCAAAATCATCATTAATGGGTTTCATTTTAGAAAATACAAAAGCTATCCGATGGCCACTTTGGTGGGGTGGGGGGAAATGAGCCACTCACCACAGAACATTTGATTGGAGAGAAGGGCAAAACTAACATGGGTTAACAGAACGATCAAAAAGAATGGAGTCTTAAACACCAACTCGAATCATCAGTTTAAAACTTATCACTTATCAAAAAAAAAGCCAGATTGCTGCCATGCGTGCATTATAGCTTTCATAAAAATGATAGCATAATCTAAAATTTACTTTTCAACATACAAATCCCCCATGGAACTGCACCCTACAGGCTCCAAAATTACTCAAAGATAAGACATTCTCGTAAAGAGCATCAATTTACGCGCTGCAGCAGCTACCTATCCTGCCCTCCCGCCTAACACGGTGCATAAATGCAGGCTATCCCAGTGTGAGTTCCTAAAGCACACCTCCAGTCGTCCATCAGAAAGACACTTTCCAAACAAAGCAATCTGATGCACTAGAGGAAGGGTATAAAGGCAGCTGACAGGATCTCCTCCTCAAGCAGCTAAGCTCAGGGGAAGCCCTCACTTTGAAGAGATGAAATGGGGACACAGACATGAGGACACAGACAGACGTGAGGACACAGCTCCCGACTCCCACCACCAGCAGCAGCTCTTCATGGACACTCCACAGGGTCAACTTGGCAAGCTAGGAAGGTTCAGTACAACCCCCTCCCGAGTGTGAATGCCTCCTTTTCAGCCCACTCACCTGTTCTGAGTAAAGTCACCAACTAAGAAGTCCCTTTACATATTGGCAAGGGCGATGCCACTCAGAATAAGCACGTCAGCAGGTGCTAGCTGTTTGGATTGTTTGTTTGTTTGTTTGTTTGTTTGTTTTTTGCTTGCTACTGTTAAAGGTCACTATCACCTGTAGCCTCTCCAGTGCTCCCCATCCCCTGCCTATCCTCAGAATGAGGCTGAGAAATTAAAAAACAATCTAAAATTGAGGCATCTTTTGACTTAAAAAAACAGAACACAACAGAGGAGTCCCATATCACCTCTTTGACCGAAAAGTCTTGTCTCCCACTCCAACCCCAGGGTACTGATTTTTCATTCTAGGGTTGCTTTCTCATCCTGAGAATTAGAAGCAACCACTGTTTACCCAGCTCCAGTCTGAAATCCTACAAAGATATTGTCATGATGCATTTGAGAGAGGACAAATATGGTATTTTATTCTCCTCTCTCTCTCTCTCTCTCTCTGTCTCTCTCTGTGTCTCTGTGTCTGTCTCTCTCTGTGTGTGTCTCTGTCTCTGTCTCTGTCTCTGTCTCTCTCTCTCTCTCTCTCTCTCTCTCTCTCTCTGTGTGTGTGTGTGTGTGTGTGTGTGTGTGTGTGTTAGGCTAATAAATTTCCTGAAGGAGTTAATTCTTTTAAGCTGTGACCTTATATTTAATTAGTAGAAATATATAATGTACAATTGGCAGACTAAATAGACAGAAGCTGATAGAATGAATACAAAATGAATATTTAAAAGAAACAAAAAGCAAAAAGCAGCCTTTCCCCCCGGATCTAATCTAGGCGCTCTGGACTCCCAGCCTCCACGTTTGGTGATAGCAGAGAGGACAAGAAGGTAGCTGTTCACACCGTCAACACCATCACTCCCTCTCCCCTCCCCCAGCCTTCTCCTCTTGGCATTCCTGGTCTCTAGTCCTCACCCATGCATATGCCTCTTGCGCTGGCCTCCAGTGCCCCCGAAATGGCAGCAGAAGCGAGCTTTTTTATTTTATTTCCCCCAGCACCATTGCGTGGACTCCATGCATGGGCAACAAGTGTGACCAAGGCCGCCGTGCAACCTGCCTGCGGGCTACTCTTCCGCAGGGCTGACCCTCCTCTCTAGAAACTGTCTCAAGATGTGCCAGACCCACACCCGAGGGAGGCAAACGCAAACACCCCAGGCAACCACGGAAGAGCAGAACGCGGGGCCGGGAGAGGATCCGGGCTGGGATTGAGTCGCCAAGCCCGGATCACATCCAACCCACGGAATGGACAGGAAAATGAGGAACCACCGTGGGACCTGCGCTGCCCTCCCCGGAGAGCGCGCGGCGGGGGTGGGTGCCCAGGGGTCTCACCTCCTGCGGTATAGCCGGGTCTCTCCCGCGAGGCGCTGGCAAGCATGAGGCATGCAGCATTCAAAATGTTTTTTTTTTTAACACAGACTTGATGCTTTTATTTTTCTTTTTTCTCTCTCTTTTTTCTTTTCTTTCTTTTTTTCTTTTTTTCCTTCTTTTTTTCTTTCTTTCTTTCTTTTTTTTTTTTTTTTTTTACCAACACGCCATTGTACTCACTCCTTATTCCAAGACGGGCTGCGCGCTCCGAGCTGCACGGGCAGGCATTTTCCCCGGCTTTGTTTTACAAGGTGGGGAGAGCGGTGCTGAAGGCAGGAGGGGTGTGCGGGGGTTGGGGGGAGCGTGAGAAGAAACGAAATCGCGGGAAGGAGGGGACACCAGCGGCGGCAGTCTGGGCAGAGGGTGAGGCTGAGGCCAAGTTGGGCTCCGACGCTGCCGCCTCCGCGCGCCTTGGGTCACCCCGACTGCGCGGCCGCCTTGGGTCCCGCGCGGGCCCTGGATGCGCTCGGCCGGTGGCTCGGCGCTGCCCTGGGGCTCGGCGCGGGGGTGATCACTGCAGCCCGCGCGGCCGAGTGCCCGGGTGTCTTTGTGCCGCGGCCCCGCGCAGCCCCTCTCCGCATGTCTTTGTGCGGCGCCCCGCCTGGCCCGAGCCCCACGGGGCGCCCGCAAGGGGGGGTGTGGCCCGGGATGGCCCTCCTGGCCCCGCAGCTCCACTCTCCCCTCGCCTCGCCACTCTTCCCTCCTTTCGGAACTCCTTCCTCCTGCCCCTGCGGTGTCCCCGCCCGGGCTCGCCTCCCCGCACCCCCCTCCCAAGCCTATGCGTCGCCCCAGCTGCCAATGCGTCCTCCCCATGGCGCCCTCGGCCCGCCTCCCGCCCGGGATCAACATGAGCCTCACCTGCACCCATCACCCAGGGTCCCAATGCCACCTCCTGCTCTAGCTGTCATGCATGCGTCTTCCAAGGAACTCCAAGCCATGCCTTCTTGAGTCCTGGTGTCGTGAGAGACCCTAGATCCTCACAGGTGAGTATCTTCCTCACTAGCGCCCCCCCCCCAACCAGGGTGGCACAGAAACACCATCCCGCTGGTGCCCTGTGATTTTCAGAGTGGGGGCTGCATGAGGATGCGGGGTCTTCCAGGATACACTGGGGAAGGAATAGTCGTTGAGCTCTCAGGGCTACTTGATTTGGGCCTAGGGTTCCTGAATCAGAAAGGCAGGCTGAAGATGCCAAAGTCAAGGGGGGAAATGGAGGAAACCCGACTACTTTCTCTAGGACAACTCCACTCCCGCACTTCCCCCTCCAGCCCAAGGCTGGGACCAAGGATGCTGAATGCTGTGGGTATGGGCAGATGCTGCAGGACGAGAAGACAGTGGTCCTCAGGCTGTGCTTGTTCCCAGCCTCCTCCCCAACAACCCTGGAAACCCCAGATTGGTAGGCAGCAATTTTGCCCAGACACCTGGAGCACAGCGCCTGAGTTGCTTACTGAACTCTTGGCGACAGGGATTGATTTACAACAGAACTGGCCGAGGAAGGGAAGGATACTGGATGCTGCCTCTACTCTATGTGGGAGAATTCCACTGCCCTTCCAAAAGGCACTCCACTTTGCCGTGGGAACTCCCACCTGCCCATCACCTTTGCAAAGCCAGTGTTTTCCCAGGTACACGAAGGAAGTCACAGATGACACAACTGTGGCTGTAACATGAACCTCATAAATCATTTACAAGACTCTCTGCAACATCAGTGATTTTTTTTAATTCCAGAATAATCCCAGCGCCTGTTTCCTCAACTGTAATAAAACATCCACCTTGATTCCATTTAAGCACCTTTTTCTTGACCTGTGGTCTCAAAAGTAACAAAGTGATTAAACAGAAAACTGAGTCTGATCTCACAGGTAGACTTGGACCCTCCTTCTGGGTCATAGTTCATGCTGTTGGCTCTACTGCAGGCCTTTCTGGGTCCTATGGCATTCTCTCAGTTTCTCCCAACGCACACCTCACACCACCTTACAGGAGCAGAGTTCTGGACACAGAGAATTCCTGTGTGCAAAAGTGCTGGCACAGGGGATTCATTTTAGGGGCCTGGTCACACGATCCCTGAACCTTGCAAATCCCTCTAGAATCCCGGAGCAGCTACAGCACGTTGGAAGCTTGAGGCACAACTTTATCTACTGCAGGAAGTCTCTTTCATTCCTGAGTGGGTGACACCCACCTACACGTCTAGAGTAATCTTGAGCTAACTCCAATGTCTTCACAGCGGCCCTTAGACTCCAGATCAGCATGAAATAGGAACTCCATGCTGGGTGAGGTTTCCAAAGAGCCCTAGTCTGGTGTCTCACCCTTTCTTTTTCCTGGTCAGTTTCTCCCTGGCCACAGCGCTATCTTGTGGGCTCTTGGAGGACTGACCATGTCCCCCAACACACAGGACTAGTGAGGGGTGCTGAGTTCACGACTGCTGATAAACACAGACAGTACCACGATCCTGGTCTCCCTCCCAGCCTCCAGAGCAAGGATACCCAACTTATATAGGGGATGGGGCAAACTGTCCAACTTGAAATAATTTTTTTCCCGACAAAGTCAGGGAAAATGACTCCAGGCTCTCTTTTCACTCCATGTCTCCCTGCTCCCATCCTTCCTTTGTGTCCTCTAATTTGTTCTGAACCTTGAGGGTCCTCTTCACTCTCTGGATCTATCCATGCCTTGTCTTGACTGGTCTTCTGTGTAATTCTGTACACAGGCCTCCATGGTCCACTTGCCCACATTTGCAGGCTCTAAGGCCCACCCCCAATCCCAAAGGATCACTATTCTCTGTCAACTCATCGGTGTCCCACATGTGTAGGTTGAGCTGGCTCAGCAGTTAAGAGGACCCACGTCCAGGTGCTCACAGCCAAATCCGCAACTCCAGTGCCAGGATTCCCAACACCCTCCTTTGACCTCCAAGGGCACCGCACAAACCTGGTGCACATCAACACATGCAAGCAAACACTCACACACACACAAAAGGATAAATCTCTAAAGCAAGAAAGAAAGTCAAAAAGGAAAGTTTCTAAACCGTATCATCGTGATTTAATCCAACACGATAAAAGTTAATCTCCACAAATAATCTGAAGGGGACCACGAAATCGCCCACGGCCCTGGATGGATCTGGCCTCGCTTCCACAGCAGCCCCACAGCCCCTCCTTCAGCACCCCTGGCCCCTTTAAGTGACTTTAAAAGACGTGCGTAAGAGTGTGTGAAATACAAGGAAGAAGCCCAGATTGTGTGTCACGGAAGCCAGAGAAACAGGAAACTGTTGGGTCGCCCTATTAACGATGTGCACACCTTGCTCCACACACGCCTACCCCACAAGAACATGAGACGCGTAATGGGAGGGGCAGAGCGCTGCGTTCCTTGTGTTGCAGGGTTTCACGTGCCTTACTTTTTATAATGCACAAGAAAACCCAGAATACATAGTACAAAGACGGGTTCCCACAAAGCCTCCTTCTGGTCCTTTCAGGGTACATGCAGCAACCCAGCTTGCAGCCTGACTCAGACCTTCATTCTCACGTTAATTTTGCTTTTTTTATTTTATCCTGGCCTACTCAAAATGCCCTAGTAGAAGAAAAATAAAAAATGAGCATGCTTCTTATAAATATTTGAGCACATCAAAAGGATTCTGCAAGCATCCTACCTCCGTTGCTTCTGAACTATGAATAGGGTCATATTTCTGAGGGTCAGTTTCACTGCACTCCCAGGAGATGGATGGAAGAGCCAGGGCGAGAGACCACTGGCACTGCCATCTTCACACTACTGTAATGGAAGAGTTGAGGTGACTAACCTAGACAGGAACGGCTTATGTTGTTCTGTAATTCTGAAGGTTCCAGTATACTCACATGGTCGCTTATGGGACTCTAGCCTGGGCCACATCACTTACAGCGTAAACAAAGAAGCTTGGGCAGCCTGAACCTCACAGACCCCTTTGAGCCAGGCATCCAATGGCCTAAAGACCTCCCTCCAGGCCTCACTACCTGATACTGCCACACTGGGGTCTTAGCCTTCCACACTGCAGCCTTTGAGAGACCTTCTAGATCCAAACACAGGCATCATTTGCATGCTTAATATGATAATTTACCCATTAGCATAAACCCATGAAAAAGGGAGTTACTGATGAAGTTAGACCACCAACAAATTTCAACTCCTTAATGTATTTTGTCATTTGTCTTCTAGAAAACGCCATCCTACAGAAATAAGGAGGAATAAGGCATACTGGTCAAATATTCACTGAGCGTCTACTACACCCTGAGCAGTTCCACAGACACAGCAAGCACACTGCCTTCGGGGTGATTTGGTCTGAAGAGGGTAGGTGTAGGTGAACACACCTATAACGTTTCAGTGTACATCACTGAGAAAGTTACAGGCACTGCGGCAGTATGTTACACTGCAAGCTCAGACTCTTGGAGAACGTGAGCACATGTATGACGAGGTAACAAATGCTAGGGAGGATCTTCCCCAACAGAGGAGCTTGCCAAAGGCCTGTGGTGGGAGACAGCTGGGAGAGCATGAGGAGCTCAGAGAGCTAGGGCAGGTGGGGACATTTGTTCTGTAGCCGGAGAGGACAGACGAGGCCTCTGAGAGGCCTGCATCACTTGTCAGCTAGACCTGAGCCGTGCAGGGACTTTAAGAAGGCAATCTTTTAAGGCCAGACATTCATGTAAGCAATGTGCAGGATGGGGAGTCTTCAACTTGAATTAGAGTCACCTGATGGGGATGGTAGAGTCCACAGGCTTCTCCCACACCCAGAGCCCTGATATTTTTTTTCCTTCGGTGAGATTCGAGAACTGGCATCCATAACAAGTCCCCAAGAGACACAAAGGCTGTTATCGGTCAAGGACTTTGGGAACTGTTAGACAAGAGACGGCATCCAGGCCTCGTCTGCGTGAGCACCGGGGTGTCTTTCAGCGATGTTGAGAAATGGGACCCGACAGCAGTGCATGCGGCAGTTGCCAGATGAAGGTAGACACCCACGTATGTCCATGTCATCTCAGCTTCAAAGCGTGACCTGACAAGACCTTGGTTTTCCGTTTTCAGCCCGGCACTTCTGTATCGGTCCCCTTTCTGCTGCTGTGATGACACACCATGAGCGGATGTAACTTAGAGAAGGAAGAGTGTCTTCAAAGCTCCGATGGCTAGAGCCCAGCGAGGCAGGGCAGCTGAGGCAGGAAACTGAGGGCTCCCATCCCCAACCACAGCTGGAGCAGAGTGAACTAAAGGTAGTGTGAAACTCTCAAAGGCCACCCCAGTGACACGCTTCTTCCAGCAAAGCCCGCACCTAAACCTTTCCAAACAGTGCCACCAACGGGGGACCAGATACCCAGGCCTATGTGGGATTTCTCCCATTCAGAAACCAACTCCTCTGTGCCTCTTCCCTGGTGGCTCTCAGGGCCTGATGACTGTCTGACACAGGCAGTGCTTCATGCGGAAACCCATACTTGTCACCGAGAACCTCTGCCGGTGCGGCCTTTGCTGGGTATCACTGTTTCTGTTAGTGCTGACTATTGTCTGGGAAGAGGAAATCAGCCCAACAGCCCCTCTGAGGTTGGCACTGGCAAACAGACAATGTGAAGAGGGACTCCCTGAAGACATGTTCTACCTCGTTCAGAAAGCAAAGCTCCTGATGTCCCCACCCATAGCCTTCCCTCCCCTCACAACTCTTTGTGTCTGTGACTGAATGAACACACATGAAACCTGCCCAAGGCCATAAGCTAGACATGTGGGAGATGTACCATTACCTCTCCATGTATTACCTCAGGCTGTGTTTCCTCCAGAAGAAAAATCCTAAAATACAGACAATTACTTTCCACTGGATTCAAAATCTGGTCAAGTACTCCAGGGTTTTCTATGTTTCCTAAAATACGGCCCAGGCACTCTGACAGCCTGCGTGGTCTATCCCTATGACTGCCTGTATGGTCTATCCCCACACCCTCTTAGTTGTTGCTCCCCAGGGCCTTTCACCAATGGCCTCCTCTCCACTGGGAACCAATCCCTTCCCACACGGCAACAGCACAGACGGTTTGAATGTGAGATGCAGTGGGGGGAAACCCTCTTCTTTCTCAGGGCCTTCAGAATCCAGTCCATGGTGTGGAAGGTGTGTCAGGGCCAAGCGTATCCTTGCTTTATCAAAATGAAAAAGGAGGCAGAGAAAGAGGAAGAGGGGGCAGGAAGGAGAAGGGAGAAGGGAGGGACAGAGTGGGTGAGGAGGGAGAGGGGAAGAGGAGAGGAGATGGAGGGGAGGGGTAAGACAGAGAACCTGTACCAAACGTGTATTGGAGACGCATCATTTGAAATTTGGTCCCCGTAGGGGACATATGAGGCAAGCAACTGGGTTCTTAGCACTAGAGAGGTCCCCTGAAGAGCAAGGGCCAGTGAGTGCCCTGAGCCACAGAGTTCCTTCATCAGGCCCGTCCGTCCCTCTCTGTGGTTCAGCCACCAGCTGGATTCCAGCTCTTTTTCAATGCTTCTTATCACTTCTCCCCCTGACAGCCCTCCTGTTGCCAGTTCTTCCAGCCTGGACTGTGCCTGCCCGGTTTCTTACCAGAATACAACTTCCATTCACTCGCCAGACCTCAGCTAAAACAGTCCGTCTTCCAAAAGGCCACTACTTCCCAACCAAGTGCAGCCCACCGCCCCCAACACATACTGACAGCGCAGATTCACTGTTATTAAATATTTATTCAGACTGCCTTTTGTTGCTAATGGAGAAAATACGTGGGTGGCTAAAAACAAGAGAAAATGTGTGGTCCGCCTTCTGCAGATCAGGGAGGTCAGAAATCAACGTGTCT